AGATGGTGAGTGACTAAAGCATTACACATTTTTCCTGACCTGAAAGATAGACCCACAAAGTGGGAATGACAGAGGCAATATTAACCCATGTGTCAGTGTAGCATTGGCAAATATCTCCTCACAGTTAATAAGCTTTCTGCTCTGTGTATGCGCTATTTGTACACAGCCCTGGCTCTGTAAATACAAACACACTCAATATTCATTCAAGCCAGGACACAGGCAAAGGAAATGTGATGTCATTCTCAGCTCCAGACATCACAACTCCATCATATCTTTACACTGCAGATCATTGTTTTCTGTTATATTCATGTTTTAAATCTCACATATATATATAACTTTTAAGTACCGTGAGGCCATTTTCCTGCTAAACAACTCAGACCACAATAAGACTATACCATCTACTGAGTGACTTCTATGTGTGGGCTGAGGCACTCGGAGCTGTGTGGCCACTCCCCTGCTAGAGACTCGACACCACCAATATAATGGTGTGAGTTCAATGAAAAGGAGTGATTTAGTTTAAAATGCCTTCTAATTAAAAAATCAATGTGGATGAAGATTTTTTGGAGTCAAATACACATTTGTGTTGACAAGATCATAGATTCTGATCTTAAGTCCAGATGGTGCGATGTGTCTTTATGCATCAGGTGTCGCTGGAGTTTTCTCCGTCCTCAGCTGTCCCAGGAGAGGAGACCACCCTGCAGGTGACAGCCCAGCCAGACTCTCTGTGCGGAGTGAGCGCTGTCGACCAGAGTGTCCTCATCAAGGAGCCAGGGAAAACTCTTGAGACAGACAAGGTAAATAATGGAATCAACCACAAATAGACGCATACATCATTTATGTGTCCTTTAATAATTTCCTTATGTCATGGTTAATCTTTCCTCTTTTTCTTCCCTTCCCAGTTGTATATTTACACCAACCATGTCGATGTTATGATTTTTGTAAAGCACACTGTTACGAAAATGCTATGAAAAAACTTCTGGTCATATATGTGAGGTGTATCCCTTGTATACATAATGTATACATTATCCACGTTATACAAAATTCACTGGTACTAGATGTCACACTCCCCTCCTCCTCCTGGCAGTCTAAAGCTTCTATGCTGTAAACAAACCTGCCTGGTATTTTGAGCTTGCAGTCCAGGTGCAGTCATCTAATAGGACTTGGAGCTAGTGGCAGCAGCTTGTACAGTTAGCACGTTCAGCAGTACTGTGTTACAAGAGATAAGGTCTTAACACGGTATTTATGATGTCTTATTTATTCTTCTGTACAGCACTTTGGTTGTTTTAACAAATAAAGTTGGATTGGATTGGATAAGGTCAGGGTTGTTTCTCGTCAACTAACAGTTTATGTGACTATTAGAGGACAGGCGTAATCTTTTTCTATAATCTTTGCATAAAAAATATAAACGATAGCTAATTTTACCTCCCATATCATTGTAGATTTCATTAAAACTGGACAGAAACAAATGAAATGCTCCATAACCATCTTTGTTGTCTTTCCACTGTTCAAACAATCACCAACTGGTTTAGTTAGGTTAAATAAATCCTTAATTTACCGACATAGATGAGGAAAAACTGCAGTTTCAGTTGCTCTCCTCAGTTTTACATGGAGGGACTCACAGCCAGACTGGCTTTGTAAACAAACCACAGACAGGCTGCGATAACAACACAGGCAAAGGGAACGTGACGTCATTCTCTGCTCAGGACGCCATGACTCCATGATATCTTTACATAGAAAATAGTTGTTTGCAATTATAATTATGTTTTAAATCTAATATATAAACTGATCAGGCATAACATTATGAGCACTGACAGGTGAATATGACAGTAAATAACTGTATCTGGTTATCATGGCACCTGTCAGTGGGTGGGATAGATTAGGCAGCAAGTGAACATTTTGTCCTTAAAGTTGGATGTGTTAGAAGCACGAAAGAATGGAAGCGTGAGGATTTTGAAGCGACTGGTTGACAAGGGCCAAACTGTTGATGGCTAGACGACTGGGTCAGACCATATCCAACACTGCAGCTCTTGTGGGGTGTTCCCAGTCTGCAGTGGTCAGTACCTATAAAAAAGGGGTCAAAGGAAGGAAGACAGGCTCATGGGGGGCCAAGGCTCGCTGATGCACGTGGGGCTACTGTATCTCAAACTGCTGAAAAAGTGAATGCTGGTTCTGATAGAAAGGTGTCAACACACAGTGCATCAAAGTTTGTTGGTACGGGGCTGCATAACATTATGACCACTAGGGTACCAGGTAGTATATATAACCTTCAAATCTCAAGACATCCCTATTGTCAGATCTCCATACAGCAACAAACATTTAGTAGTTTATAACTATGAATTATTCCCTTTTTTCCAGATATTTGAATTGTTACCTGTAAGAAAAGCAACCTCTATTCCACATGACATTCAAGATCCTGTAGAATGCTTGCATGTTTGGACGAGACCGAGAAGATATGTTTTACCATACCCCTACCATGACAAGAAAGGTGATGCTCATACAGTTTTCCAGGTACTGCACAAAAAATAATATACAATAAAAAGAATACATTAAGAATTTTGTTGTTTACATTTAATTTACATTCAAATAATGCCTGTATGTTGTTGGATTATCTAGAATGTAGGTCTGAAGATGGCAACAAACTTGTTTATTCGAGTGCCTTCATGTCTCAAGTTCAAAGGAAGAGAATACCACCAAGGCCACTTTGGTGACTTTTTTTTGCTCTATCAAGTGACACATTCTGAATATTTCCCAGCATTAAAACAGCTCTCTGTATCATTGCTGCCCTCTGCTTCTGATGTAATATTTTCTGGTTTCTGTTCAGGATTGGTTCAAAGTTATAGCCGTCAAACATCCAGAATGAGAGGACCAGTATTGAGAATGGAGATTGCTCGTGATGGTATGGTAGACAGTGGAGGCAGTGGAGGCTCTCCTCAACTTCCACCAATAGAAACAGTCCGCACTTTCTTCCCTGAGACCTGGATATGGGACCTGGTTGAAGTTGGGTGAGTTTCTCTCAGCAAGGGTGTTGATGGTCATGAAATAGGGTAAAACAAAATACATTGTGTATTTTATTAATGTGTATTAATTTTTGTTGGAATAGAACATGTGA